GTAGTGATATATATGAATAGGTAAAGAGGAGAGGAGATTTCAATTAATTTCAGACAAGGCATAAGATCGAGGATCTTATCTTAATCGCCAGTGAAGCCAGGTAAATCATCAGTGCGAAATGCACGAAGGGGAAGACGAACCGGCGATGCTGAGCAGTCAAGCAAAAGTTATTAATTTACAGCTTTATTTTCCACGAATAGTAGATATTTCAAAATATGTGTTAAAGAAAAAAAATCAATGATAAACGAATGAATAATTTGATTGATAAAGAACGTAGATTAACTGGAATAGAAGAAACAAAGATGCGAAAACGTAACGAAGACGTAAAGAAAAACTTTCAGGATTACTGCTTCTGCTCCTTTTGAAAGGATATTAGTTTGTATTGCCTTACATATCCTTTCGTTGAAATTTATATTTATTCGCCGTATCCACCCATATTTTTTCTATATCTTATGAATATGATAGATATATATGTATACAAATCAGCTGAAATAATATTTTATAATAATCAACTTCAGCTGAAATGTCAATTGTCAACTAAAATTTATCCTTTTGAAAACTTATAGTTGGAAAAAAAAGGAAAAAATTTATAAAAAATTTATCCGTTTAATTTTTTAAAATAATTAACAGAATTCTTGTATTCTTTTCTTTATTTTTCTATATAAGAAATTAAAATTTTTCAAAAATTCAAAAACACATTCGAAAAAAATACTCTATTATTTAAATTAAATTTGTATTTTATTTATATAAATTCAAAAATTAATAGGAAAAGATGAGAAATTAAGAAAATTGGAATTTTTGAAATCGTTCATTTAAAAATTCAAAAAATTCAAATTAAAAACGTGCAAAATTAATTACTATTAGTATTGGCACGCAGAGAAATCTTTTGCTATTCACGAAAAATCTCGTTGTTCTCTCTTTCTAATTTTTTTTAGATAAATGAGTAAAAAAGCTGAATAAACATTGAAAAGAAGTTATTAAGTTTTTATTGTTCTTAGTTTATTGGATTATTCATTGGATAAAAATGAAAATAAAAAATTAAAAAATTACATGAAAAAATCGATCTATAAAATGTAAAAAAATAGTTCAGCGATAAAATATTAAAAATTATTATCAGAAGTGTATGAGAAATATGTGATAAAGCGATCTATGAAGCGCATTTAATACAAATTTTCAAGTAATTTATTGATAAAAAATTAGAAAATTAGAAAATAGAAAATTAAAAATCATTTTAAATAAAAGATGCTTAATTGTTGGTTAACGCAATCCACGAGAAAACGTCGTTCTTCGTTTTCCTTCTTCGATCTTCCTTTTTCTTCTTTTTCCCTTCCTTAAAATGGTCGAAACTCTTAATCAGTATGCAATACAATAAAATTCATTCATCTTCAATACCTTTTCGCTTTCCTTTTTTGTCGCTTTAAAATTTTCTCTAATAAATTATTCAATGAAAAAAAAAAGCAAACAAGTAAACGGTTATAGTTCACCATTTACTTCAGTTTGCTCGCTTTGCTTGCTATAAATACGGATGAATGATATCGAAATTGACTTGACGATAGAATATGGATAAATCTCACCTGGATTTTTGATCTCAGGTGTTCTGATAATAAATATGATCTGAAGCAGGAATCAGACTCTTTTTTCTCAATAATCTGAAGCACTATTCATTCCCGGTTATTCTATCCTCATTGAATGAAGCCCTAATTTTCGTCATTTTCAAGAATTCTTATGATTGCTGCTGCAGATCAATTGAGGAACATGTGCCAAATAAGGCATTTACTTGAGCTGTTAATTTTTAAATTTTATCAATCTAGCCGAATTAAATTCAAAAGCTAAAATTATATCATCTTCTTTATAGGCAATTTTAATTAGCTTTAAAGCAAGGAAGAGATGCATATAATATAATTTTATTTCGTTGTATCTATCAGTCTGATGAATTATAAATGACATATATCGTCGTCTATTCAATTGGTTCTAACTTGGTGTTAAGTTCATCAATTCAATTTATTAAAAAATTTCATTCAAGTGAGATTTATAATTCTTCATCAGCAAGAGATATATAAACGGAGATTTAGAAATTTTCTTTCTCATTGTAAGAAAATTGCGAAAATCACAGAGAGCATTGTCGATTTTAAAAAAAATCGGATCAAAATTATGTTTGACGCATTTTGAAAAGAAAAGAACAATAAATATCACTGAAATTGCAAATAAATATTGGCTATAATTATCATAGATCATAATTAACAATAGAGATTCCATGAGATTTTTGTTAGACATAAGCAATTACATGATTCTGTGAAATGAAATAAAAATTTTATTAAAGAATATTTCGATGAAAATCGAATCAGACTTCGAACGTATATCGGTAATTTTTTCTTATACGAATAAGAACCAAAAATAGAATCTGAAAAGTTAATTAATTGATAATTGATCACTCATTCATTTTTAAAACTTTTAACGCTAAGATTTTTAGCTAAAAATATCTTTTGAAAATGCTTTGCAGCTTTTTAAAAATTCATTCTTCATGCTTAGCAACTAAAAATGAATTAAGTTTGATATGATAGCTAAATTTTTCTCTGAATATTCCAAGCTATATTAGTGGATTTAAATATGCCGATGAATTATGAATTTTCACTATTAAACATAGAATTTCTCTTGTTTCCTTTTAAAACTTTTTGGGAAATATTTTCAAAACTATGTTCCCAATTTTACTAAATAATTTTCAAACATACAAACGCAATATGCTTTGTTTTTTGCCTGGCCATTCGGCATTAGATTGAATCCAAGGTCTTTAAAAAAATTACAACCCGGATAATGGAAATGCATCCTTCCCCTTGACGAAGCCTCTATATATAGCCGCGATTCGCTCGATCTTGCTACGAGGCATGGCCAATGAGAATGGCCAATATTAAGAAGTTATCTTTGACAACTTATGTCTTAGTTTTATGATTCACCGAGTGAACAAAATTTCAAAAACAAAATGAACGCATCCACTTTCATTCAAATACCATTTGCATTAATAGTACCGTCATAGAACGCCGTCTTCTCTGGTTAGGGCGTTCTTCGTCGCCCACCATAAAAATAAAAAGTATTTCGTTAATCATGACGACATTAAAAACGAGATGGTCCAATAGGTGGACCAGTGATATATGGACTTATCCTTGTAGCTGTGGGAGCCAACCTAACCAGGAATGGTGAAAGCTATTAGAAGAAGAAGAAAGAGGAGAAGAAAAATTAGCTTTATTATAAATCTATAATTTTAATAATAATAATAATAACAAAACAAAATTTTTATTATCATTATCTACAAAAGTTAGATTTACATCACCGTGAAAATTTCGAAATTATAAAATTATAACGTTTTACAAAAAAAGAAATACCCGTTGATCGAATCAAAAAAAATTTATAAAAATAATAAAAATAATAACAAAATATTTATACAAAATACATTCTATTTGAAAAAAAAAGAAATCCAGTGAAATATTAGTATATAATGTGAAAATATTATATGAAAAAATATTTATAAAACTTTGCAAAAATGATGAATAACTTCAATTTCCGACGGAAACACATGTACATCTGACTAAAGATAGCTTATGATTAGCCTTTTAGATTTCAATTCCTTGCCTATTATGTTCGCATGAGTTTTAAATTCGAGTTTTCCGCTTCAATCTCCTATCTATTATATCTTTAATAATTCCAAATTTTTCGTTCAGAATTAGTCAACAAGTTATTCATTAATATCCTGGTGGTACTAACGATCGATTCACCTGCGCTTCTATCGCTAAGCAGCTCTCTGGCAAAATTTTTTGAAAAACAAGCCTACCAGAAATCTTTTTAAAAAAGTATTCATTAATTAACAATGATTAAAAATGTGCAATATCAAAACTCAATTGCTCCTTCAAAATATTATAATATAGTTCTTCATGATCACTGAAATTTTTCGAATTTTTAAGCATCTCTAGTGGAATTTGTTCATTATAATCGACCATGTTCATCAATATCGATATTGTTGTTGCATCGAGATTTTTTTTTAATAACTGAAAGAAAATATTACTTGATGGAAGACTGGTGATGTATAAGGGTATAAGGCCACGTTGCATAAACTTCGTCTGCTTCTTTGTTCTAATTATTGCACATATCCGTAAAAATTTCAACCATTCTTTTGACATAAATGAAAAAATTGGTTCGCTTTAGCACTACTTTATAGGTTGTAAATAACTTAAGCAACTTCTGATTTATTATTACTGATAAAGACATTTATTATTACTGAGATGATTGATAGAATAATTCTTTCTAAAAATTCAGTGAGTTAACGTAGCCAATTTTTCTTGTTTTCTGAAGCAGAACATATTCAAAGAAATAGTCAATAAATATGCCAGTGGCTTTATTCAATACTAATTTTCATGAAATGAGCGATAGATAGTTATGAGCCTTTAAAATTTCTTAATTTCATGCTCTGCAAATAGTTTTAGGGAATGTTTTTAAATAATTATGAGCTTAAAGAAAATTCCATTTGTCATTTGATAATTTGTCATTCCATTTTAGGGAATATTTATATAACTGAAATATTGTTCGACTATAAAATGAACGAAATTAATTATTAGAATACTTCAGCAAAATTCAAATTTAATTCTTATTTTATAATTCAGTTGTTGAAATCATATAAACGCTTTTTTGATAGTCCTCACCATTATTGTCGGACTCGCTCGGTTCACTAGTCGCATTAAATGAATGTACCAGGGAATCTCTTGGTGATACAACTACGGGTGAATCACCAGCGTTACCAGGGTTTTTGGGCAGGGGAGTAGAACTTCGCCATCGAGGCTCCTAAATACCAGGGAATCTCTTGGTGATACAACTACGGGTGAATCATCAGCGTTACCAGGGTTTTTGGGCAGGGGAGTAGAACTTCGCCATCGAGGTTCCTAACTGAGCGAAAACTCATTGAGCCATTCTATTCTACGTTAACGTTAAAACTATGAATTTAACGAATTGATGCATTAAATAAAATTTACCTGAATTAGTTCAAGATTCATCCTTTCTAAAGCATAATGCATAATGTTTTTACCATGTTTCGTGTCCTTAAACATTTCTTTCATTAAAAATATTTTAAAAGATGAAACGATTTTCAAATATTTAGAATAATGAAAGAAGATGAAATGTAGAGTTTGCAGAAAATAAATTAAATAAACTCACAGTGAGGAAAGGATCGGCGCCATTCTTGAATAAAATTTCGATAACCAATTTATTATCGATAATTTTATGATCATCTTCCTCGATATTTAAGTGATTTTTAATGGCACATAATAAAGGCGTTAAACCATTACCATTTAATAAGTTCACATCAATTAACGTAGATGAGCACAATGCCTTAATAAAATTTGCCTGAGCAGAAAATTTTTATCGATCATAGTCGGGATAATTAAATTTATATATCTTTTAGTTAACAAAAGGATCCAAACATGGACTTGCGAAGCTTATTTTGAATTGTAAATGTTAGTATAGGTCCAGAAATTGGGAGATCCGGCTCCTTTATTTACTGATCGTCCTCTTACACCTCTCAAGAAGGCCTTTTAAAACTTCGCTGTAAATCCTTCTTTAACGCAGTCATTTCAACAAGCTATCCATAGATAGGATTCAGCATTTACCCTTTCATTATTGCTGAAGAATATTGGACTTATGTCTAAGGTTTAATTTTAGGCTTTATAAAAACTATACCTGAACAATTTCAGTCATCCCTCTTGATGCAGCATAATGCAGTGGTGAATCCTTTTCTTCTCGAATGTTTTGTACATTAGGATTTGCACCAACTTCTAACAAATATTCCACCACATAAATGTTTTTCTTAACAACCGCTAAGAATAATGGTGTTTCGTGAGATTGATTTGGCATATCGAAAGGTTTTTCCACAGAACGAAATTCTATTTTAAGCATTTGTTCTACAAGGGCATAAATTTTTGCTAAATCCATATGAATGATAACAATGTGCAATAAGCTATCACCATCTGCATCTTGATAGCAAAGAGCCTCCGGAAAATACTGAAAAATTATTTGCATTGCTCAACTCAACTCTTTTGTCCAGTGCTTCTGAAAAGTTCTGCAGCCTTTACCACCAAGATTCTCTGTTTCACTTTAATGTTTAATGAAGCGTATCAAATCAGAAATGGTGCATAGAATGGTACAAATGGTGTTAGAAGATGTTATTTGGCTACTAAATTTTTCATTTATCTTCATTCAATAAAAATTTTTTTTTCTCCAATGAAGCTTAAACAACAGAATTTTTAAAAGTATACAAAAAGTAAAAAATTTATCTGATAACAGAAAGCCTCTTTTTTCATGCAGTTTTGTTCACCTTTAGAATATTTGATTGGTTTTTTAGGAGACAATAATTACAACTAAATTCGAAAGACTTAGAGAGAAAATTAACAATTTTTTCGAATTTCTTACTTTTTTCGCGTTTTCTTTCTGGGAAATTTATCATTAACGAAATATTTATTATTTTCAGTTGAACGGAGGAACTTACTTGCACACATTTACAAGTCCAAGCCCATGCTTCAATCATATCTCGCTGATCAATTAATGACCGTAAGCGATCACGAGCGATACGACTTGTACTTGTTTCTCTTCCCAAGTTCTCCTTCATCAACAACTGGTTTTTGATACAGTCATCAATAAAAATTGTTTGACACGGTATGTCAGGTGAAAACTGTGGTACACTACCAGCGTGTAAAGGTGAATATTGTGGCACATTTCCATTGTATAAAATCGTATTCTGTTTGTTGATTGAAATGGACATTGTTGATGAGGTTTTTGAATTATTTGTTGCCAAGCTTTTAAAATCTGAATCTTCATTTCGATTGAAACCGTCATTAATCTTCTGATTCTTGAAAACTTTTCCAAAATTGATTGTCGCATCATTATGACTGCATGATATTGGCGAAGATGACGACGAGGAACCAAAATATCTTCTAGAATAGCTAAGAATAAAATCGCAAAGAGCATCAGGTAACTCATTTTTTTCATCCATTTTTTCCTCCTTCCTTATTGCTTTGGCAGATGAAGAAATTTCATTTCGTGGACTGAGCGAATTAGGCTTCAGTTTCGGTTGTACTGTATCTGAAGTGGTACTATCTGAAGAAGATTCGCCAATAATTTCGTCCGAAATCTTGTTTTTGCATAGCGCATGTTTATTTTGATTATGGAATAATTCTTCTGTTTCATTCAATGATGTAATAGCATTTTGGGTTTTAGTATTGTATGGATGATGAGCAGTAGCAGTTGGTCGAACATTTTTTAATGGACCACGACTCAGAAACCTTTGCTTTTCTCCAGCGCTACTTCGAATTTCAACCTTAAGATTATGAGGCTCTTCACTTTTTATTATATCCTTTTCTTCAGCAGCATTACAATTATCTTCATTATTTCGAACGGTCTGAAATTATTCCACTATTTAAATTTTTGTTATCATAAAAAACTTTTTCAATACTTCGAAATTTTCTTTTATTTGAAATTATTTTCCTTTTTTCATATTTTTATTCAAAAAATTACAAAAATTTGAATATTTATATAATTTAAATATTTAATAAATTGCATAAATTGCATTTTCAATAGATAATTCAAAAAAAAAAGGTCGGAAATGGTTTTTTAAATTTATTGTTTTAAAGAAAATAATTAAAATTACGAGTAGAAAAAGTAGAAACAAGAATGAATTACTTGTTTTGCCTCGAAATTATTCATCAAATCAGCAAAAAGCATTTCTCCCGAATCATTCATCTTTCGTGTTGTTTTAATTTTATGAGCGAGTAGGCTAGAACGTAGATTTTGGTAATTTACGAAATCTGCTGGAGAGGACGCTATTCGCCTCGATAATAATGGCTTCTCATCGATATAATTATCTATTTGACCAGCAACATTTAGCGAGTTAAACTGTTTGATCAAGCTGTGCCCATCGACCAGTGGCATTATCGTACGAAGTGGTGATTTTCTCGAAAGACATTGCTCATCTGCCGAACATTCTACGCGATTAATATTATATTCATTTGACGACGAGCATTTACTATTTGCAATTGATTCCGTATTTTCATTAGTTGTTAATATTGCAGTTTGCATGAAAGAACGATTATTCGTTGAATGTTTGGTGCATTTTGCATTAGGAAGATTGCTTGTCGAATGTGTTAGGGGTGGGGTGAAGCGACCATTTGACAACTTTCTTGCCGTGCAAGAAGGACCATTTGTTGAAAGCACTGATGACTTCATCGCCTATAATTCTTTTTTTTCAATATGATAATATAATTTAATAATATAATAAATCTGTCACAAATTACTATTATTATAAACAGTTCAATCATATGAAAAAAGAATGTTTAATGGGATAAATCAGAAAAATGGGCTAAAGCGCGGATAACTGTTTCGAAGAAGAAAATGGACAATCTTCGTGATAATCGGAAATAACTTTTAAACGACGAGTAATTAGAAAGTAAATAGTTGAAGAAAAGAAACCGTAAGCTTAATTTTTATTATTCCAGTTCATCTATTTATCAGCTAAAGAAAATTCGCACAAAGTGGCTTTCCTTTTTTCCAGTGATGTGAAAAAGAATGGAAGTTAAGGAAGTTGGAAGCGATCTTGCGAAACTCACTGAGCTATTTCGAATGCTTCGCACTAAACCCACAGTGTCTTTCTCAGCCAATAATGTCACTAAGCCCGATCACGTCGTTTCAGAGAAAAGAAAAATCGCTGAAAATCACGTTTGTACACAACTGGAATTATTATAATTTGAGTTACAATCACAAACAAAGCAATCTGATAACAGATTTAACTGAATAATTAGCATTTGCTGAATTTAAAGTTATTCTCAGATCGCAAATGTTTTCTGTTATATTTCGCCAATTGCAATGTATAGCTTATATTCATCGATAACGACGACGAATTTTGTGATATAATAATTCGTGCCTGGAACTGAACTTCGAAAAAATGAGAAAGCAAACTGGAAATAGTGCAGGTGAAGATGTGAAGGTCGATCATCAACAGTGAAAAATCATTTCATTATAACTATAACTATAACTAATAACTGCAGCTGATTCAAAGTAAATGGGTTATGGATAGGATAACCAAATGCTACGCTAATTAGATTAAGATCAATAGATTTCGATTGTTGTACCTTGGCGAGAATGAACCTGCCAATAATGATGCAATTTATAGGTGATACTAGAGACCCGTCTATAAGTAGCTTCTAAGTAGTAGCTTTCGGGCATAAGGATACGGTCGTAATGGCCAGAGCTGCCAACCAAATCACAAATGATGCATACCGTTAAATTAGATAAAAAGATGGAAGAAGTCAATAAGACCTCAGCTTTTTATTAAAACTTTTATTATTAAAAATAATAACAGCAATAACAATAATAATAATAATAGTAATAATAATAATAATACATGATCAATAAATGCGAACTGATTGTAACACCCATGGTAATAGGACGGATGATGACAAAACGTTCTCGACAAGAGTCAGTGTCGCACCTTACTCTACCCGGCACTTTACAAACAGCTTCACCTTTCATAGAAATTTTATTATATAAAATCTGTTTACATATCATCCATTGAATTTTTCTTCAATTTTGCCACGCTTGTATCATTATTATCATCATTATCACTTTATTTTTCAATAATAATAAAAATAATACATTAATAATCGAACTTTTTCATTTCTACAATTTTTCCTTAACGGATTCCCTTTTTTTTCCACAAAAATATCTAATTGATAGAGTTAATCACTAATTTTTTTTTTCAAGAATAAGAACATATTTCTTTCTTTGCACACCAATAAACAAATGAAAAGTTGGCATTTTTCGGATGAACGAAATTTCTCAAATGAATTATGAAAAGTCTACTGTATAATGCGGAAATCGTTTGGCAAAATGTTGAATTTTTAATATTTTCAAGCAAATTTGCAGAAAATTTTTTCGTAAAAAATGGCGAAAGAAGAACTTTAAACTCAATAATAATTACAAAAATTCAAACTTAATTAGCCGCAAACGAAATAAATTATTTGAAATTGGCCGTTGATTCGCTGAAAAATCTTTTGCTAAAACGATTTAAAACGCGAAGATATTCGTGCTAATAGAAAAAAATTGCACTTTAATTTTATTATTTCACAAAATTGATAATGAAATTTCAATACAATTTTTATATTTAATATTCTTATAGAAATAATTCATTCTTTTTTTCATTTAATTAATTAATGTCCTATTAATTTGAATCTTTAATATTTACAAAAAATCATATTTAATTATATTTATATTGTTTTATAGGCATTGAAAATCGGCTAAAAGTTCAAACACCATCGACGCAAGCCATTTCATGCTATTTAGCAAGAATTTAAAGTGGCCAATGCACGCACCATCCTTTTCGCCACTAATTGTTCCATTCCAACCGTTGAAGAAAGGGAAATTGTAGCTGCCTTTGGCATTAATTAAAATAGCACCTTTCCTCGTTATCACTTAGCTGTAACTTAGCTGCAAAAAAAATCAAACAAGCAAGAAGTGCTTTTCTGCTGCATGTGAGAATGTTGTTGTATGCGTTTCAAATGCCTTTCCACTATACTCAAATATTTTCGTTTTTTACAAATATTTTTTATTCAATTTTATTCAATTCAATTATTTAAAATTAAATTTAACAAAAAAGAGAGCAATTTGACGGACTTAAGAAAATATTTTTATTGATGATATTCTAATTTATTGAGAAAGAAAAAATATTCTTTATGATGAACGAATTGTTTATATTCATCGAACTTTCCCGAATTTAATTTCGACTAGCAATAACAAAAAAAATTTATATTTATTTAAACATAAGTAAATATTAAAAATAAATTAAACGATAAAATTAGAAAAAATTAGAAATTAGAAAAAATAAAGTGAATAAGAGATTATTAATTAAATTTTAATATTTGTGTTGGAAAAAAGGAAGGAAGAAATTAATTATTTTGTCGATAATTAAAATAATTAAAAATGCAATAATTAGTGGAAAAAGTGGAAAATGATGAAGCAAAGAAAAAAAAAATGTAAAAAATTGTTCAAAATGAATAAAAATAAAGTCAATTGTTTTTTATTTGTTTAAATGAAACCAATTTTTTATCACAAATTCCAGAATTTCCGGTTACGCTCGCTCCACTGGCTTACCAGAAAAGCCAGAAAAATTCAGCAAAAGAGCGAATAGAGAGAAATTCAGGCGAGTCGCCAGCACGACTCGGATTTCTAAAATGCGGCCGAGAGAGTGGAAGCACAGCGTTCAAAATGACGGCAAAAATCCACGGAACAATCCTAAATCGAATGAAAAATCAATTTAAAAAGTTAAACTTAATAAAAAACCCAAATTTGTTAAAAGAAATTTGAAAAAATGAAAAAGCAATCGTTTTTTAATTAAATTACAAAAAGCTATTGGAGGGGAAAGCGAAAGCGGTGAAAGGTCGCGCGGAGGCCACGCACCAACTATTAGGAAGCGAACCAATCTATGACGAAGCACCCACCACGGGAAAAAAAAATAAATCCATATTATTGTCAATGCTTCGCCGTCTATATCAGTCGATGTTAGCCAATCTTCCGCCACAAAATGACCGGGTCTGCAATCGCGTAATAGTGATTACAAAATCCGTGAACCGATCACTATAAGGCGGTCTCGGCCATCTTTATTAACAGCGAATGAGTTTTTGTAAAGCGAATTTTTTGAAAAATTTTTTATTAAGTTGAAATGATTTGAATAGTTTCGTTCATTTGTTTTTTTTTGGAAATTATAGTGAATTTTGAAAAGTGAATTTTTTATAGGGATCGTAATTATATTTGCGCCATTTTGTACTGGAAACTTTTTTTTTTAGCTGTTTTCTATTATTCACGTAAATTATTCACGTATTTGGTTGACGTGAAGTACGTGAATCGCGCTAAATTTTCCGTCGAATGTAAATCAGAATTCTGAAAATTGGCGTATTTGTTCAATTTGATAAGCAAAACGCTTTGAAGCATTTCGATATAAATGAGGGAAATTATAGAGAATTAAGTAAGAGAAAGTGTAAAAAATGAAGAAATGAGTAAATTGTAGCTAATTATTTCCATTAATTATAGGGAATATTCAAATGTCTCGAATGATTTTTTTTTATAATTTTTCGCTAAATCTGTTTCTTCTTCGATTATCAGCGTTAGTGATTTGAATAATTTTTTGATAAATCAGCTCGTTTTTTCGTTTTCCCCGCAAATCACTTTTGGAAAGACCTTTATGGATTTTATTTTTCCAGGTAATGGCCGAATACAGTGGCCAGCTGATAAACCAGCAGTACGGAATCGATTTAGGTCATTCACCAGCTGGCATACAGCGGCTTTCAGCTCAACACACTTCACCACAACAGCAGCAACAACTTCAGCATCAACAACAGGTTTTCTTTTTTTCTTCACTTTTTTTTTATGCCTTTTGTGATTCAGCGATTTGCCGATCTGCTCATTTCTTTTTTAAGCAAATAGGCTCGAAAATAATCTTTGATATCGTAATTATCTGATATTCACGTGTTCATTTGTTCTTAATCATCTTGTCGCTCTTCACCGCAAATAATTTTTCTTTCTGAAGTAATAACAAATTAAACTCGAGTGACGCCACCGATCCATATTCTATCAGCCAGGTAAATCCCTGGCAAAATTTGTTTAAAGAAGCAAGTCGGTGCAGCAAGTTTAATCAAAAATGGTGAATGCTGTAGAAAAATTAATAAAATTCGTGCTATTCTGTAATTCTGCAGATAATATGAAATGTACAAATGTAAAAAAAAATAATAATCCAGAAGCAGAGTTTTGTCTTTATTAAATACAAATTTTAAATTTTATTTAAAAATTTTAAAAATTTTTTGCTTTATTCATTTCACCATTTAAAGGATTTATCACAAAAGGCCTATATTTTTTTATATTTAAATTTATTTTATTTCATCTTATTTCATTATTTCATTTATTATATCTAATTCATTTTTATTTTATTTGTATTTTCGGACCATTTGGTAAAGAAAAAATTGCAGCCACCTTCCCATATGATGTCAAGCGGTCCCATGGCGATCTCACAACAACAATTATTGATGCAAGCAAATCAGCCAATCCATATGCCGACACATTGTTAGTTTTCAGTGCACTTGTTTATATTTTACAATTTTTTATTAAACAATTGAAATACCTTTGCCATTTTATTGACTATTCACTTTTTAAATCCTTGATTGTCCTTTTTAACAATTCACGGTTTGTCGTTTGACTAATCCTTGTGAATAGAAGGATGTCTTTTTCCAAATAGCAGAATTACTGGTTTAATTACCCACATGTCCAAGATATTTGTTCAATGCTTTACCTGAGAATAACATAAGCCGTTTCTTTCTTTTTACATTGTCCTAATATCCTATATATCGCTGCGTTATCTATACTTTGAAATCTTTCCTCACTCTTCCAATCCATTTCTTAATTGATTCCCTTCGTTTTTAATAGCTTGTAATGCTTAGCAGTAACGAGATATGTTAGTTACTGCGATGGATGATGAAGAATGTGAACCATACAGTTTAGGTGATATTCTGTAACGATATTAATAGTGCAGAGTTTCGTCTTATTAATATTAATACAGAGTCCAAGTTTCGCTGCAGTTGTCTTATCGACCTCTAACCTACATAATTTGGTAAATACATTGGGAAATAATGCGTCGTCAGAAATCAAACTGTTAATGGTAGGTTAAGAAACAAATCGAATCCATGGTATTTGTTAGTGGCGTACCCCATTGCACTATTTTGGTATTTTAAATATCCTTAATTATTCATTTTCTATGTAAAATTTTTTTTAAATTTGTATTGCATTTTATTAAAAAATTTTTATAAAAAAATAAGAAATAAAGTTTTGAAAATTAAAAATATCATTTTAATCATATCATTAAAAAAAATATAATTTTTTCAAATTTATCACTGAGCTAATAATATTCAAGATTTTTGAATATATGCACCACTTTTTTTTCTATTTTGGGATGGTTGAATTTTTATTTAAAACGCATTGAAAAATTCTTTATTTTTTATTCTTTATTTTTTCTTTATTTTTCTTTATTTTTGTTCCATTTATTAGAATTTGCTAATATTGCACTAAAGTTGCGAGAAAAATGGAATAATACTCGGTGCTGCAATATATGAGTGAAATATGATTTTCATAATATTTTATAGCTAAAAAATTTATTGCTTCCTTAAAAACGAGAATAATTTTAATTTTTTTTGCATTTTTAAATCTACATTGATTTATTTTCGAAACTGTTGCCGAACAGCGAAAGTAAAAGCTACTTTGTCGGACCGCCTTTCATCATATTGTGCTCCTGTCACGTGGGTCTTTTTGAGGTGAATTATGCTAAACTTTTGGTCTATTGTCGATTGATTTCTTGAGTTAAATTAGTTCGAAAATTTTTTTTTGGTTTGAAACCTTTTTCAAGTCTCCGTTGCTTCAAGTTTATTTTTATTTTTGTTTTTTCCAATCGTTTTTTATTTTTTAGTTCACTTTACAAATTTGCATGCGTAATAACTGATAAATATTATTGTATGTTCGCCATGAGTTTTTAAGGTCAGTAATAATATTCTAAGCTTAAATCCCATTTCATTGCCTTAACACCTCATTGTAATTGTAATATTGTAATATTGACTTAGTGGCAAGTGGTAGTCAATGAGAATCGAAATTACTCGGCTTCAAATTTGACCGATTTACTATGCTTCATTGGAGGGCAACGTCGAAGAGCGAAGAGTAAAGAAAGGTAAAATGGCTCAATAGGTCATCATTCGGAGATGGAGTTTCTTTAAAAAATCCTGATAATGTTGGCGACTCGCTTATACTTCTATCGTCAAATATCTTTGGCAAGGTTTATCTTGTTCGATAGGTAAGCAAAGCGATCCTAACCAGCAACGGTGAATCTTCTCAGAAAAAAGAAAGGCCATCATAAAAGAAATCTAGCCTTATGATGGCCTTTCCTTAGGACATATAGTGAACTTAAATGTCGAGGCAACTTCATAGAAATAACGATATTGAGGGCAGCGATAATTTGGAATTATTTAGAAAGCGGTATTTTTCGGTTATTTTGCAATTACTTGGTACTCGAAAATTTGCTAATTGATTTGAAGATATATCGGCTCGCATATTCTTCTTCCTGATAGAATTAGATGTATGGACAGAAAAATTTCATAAATAATTTATTGAAAAAATTGTAAGAAAAAATGTTCACATTCAAAAATGTTCACTTTATATTTTAAAGTTAACCTTTTCAAATTTTAAATTGCAGTACCTCTAAATTTTCGTATCGACTTTCATGTTTGAAAATGTTTTTACATATATATTTGAAATCACACATCAAATGATTCATTTATGGCTATTACTATAAAAAATAAATTACTCTAACTATTAAATCTAAAAATTTTGCTGGCCCATAGAAGTCACGTATGAATTTTCTTGATATTTCACCTGTTCGATTTGTTAAATTATCACTAATTTAGGTGGAAATATATCAGTTCATCAAATGGGCCCAGCTCAAGTTGTATCACACCAGGGGATGTCCATGATGAATTCTTCTGGACCCATGCAACAGCCTGGTTTTTTATTGGATCATCAATTTTTAATTTCTATGCTAATTTTTTTTCATGGATTCATTTAAACCATTGATAATAAATATTTAATCATCAAATAATATCTGAATAATTTTTAGACAATAAATTATGGTCACCAAATGAATTTTTCATTTCAGTTGGCTCACAAAGTCAGATGATACAAGCACAACATCAAGTGTTGCCAATGCAATCTCAACAACAACAGCAATCGCAAATTGTGGTACCCGCTATTAACCACCCGCAGATCATGAATTCTTTAGTTCAACAGCCTCAGCAGAATCAGTCTCACCAAATTATGCCTTCGAATGCCGCAATGCTTCAGCAACAATCTATGTGTCAACAAGCACAGCAGCATTCTATTGGACGTAGCCCAGGATTCGCACATCCTAGTCAAAGTCATATTCATAATTCAAGTCATTGTTATCAACAAGCGTCACCTAATCGTCCTTCATTATCTCGTTATCCTACTCCTAGTCCGGAAAGTGTTGCTCATACTCCTATATGTAAGGTTTTTATAGTTTTTCACTGTTTATTTAAATAAACATTTTAATTGAACTTTTCTCTTCACCCTCATCCCAAGAAAGGACCACCTCACCTTTTTCATTTTTTATTCTTCATTAGTCTCATGCTGGATTCTTCTTTTTTTTTCATTTCTTTTGATTTCCAGTTTCTTGGGAAAATTTATGCGTTATAGATCGAGCGCCGGTTCAACGGCCTGCAGTGGAAATGCGAGTTATTGGTCAGTCATCGGCAATCCGACAAGCTTTAGGTCATTTACCAGCGGTGCCTTCCACATCTTCGATTTCATCGGTGAATAGCGATCATTCAACTCTGCACACTAATCTTCAATTAATTGACAAGGTTTAATTTACATATTCAATAAGATTGTTTTGTCAGCGAACTGATCTCATAAAAAAGGTTTTACAAATTATTTTATCTATTTTTGTACAACATAAAATTTGATAAATTCTTGTCATTTCAGAAAATATATTTTAACGTTTCTCTATAAAATAATTTTAAAATAATTTTAAATTTTACATAATTCATTAATGTTATTTCATTTTTTTACACATGATCTTGAAAATTTAGGAAGCATTAGAAGCTTTAATCAAATCTGTAGATCCCTTGGAAACTGTAGAGGATGATGTTTCTGAGGCACTTTTACAACTTATTGAAGAATTTGTCGATGATGTTGTTGATCAAACCGCTCGAGTCGCGAAACACAGGTCTCATCTTTTATTTAAATCGCTTCGAAGCGGTATAAGTTCATGATGATTTTTATCTCTGAAAAATATAGAATCACAAAAAATTTCAATTTTTTCTTTAGAAGTGCTACGAAATTGGAAACAAAAGATGTACAGTACGTTTTGGCGAGGAAATACAAAATATTTCTACCTGCTCAGCCAGTCAATGGCGTTGTCAATGAATGTATTCCTTCGAAATCGCCACTTGTCGAAGCGCATCGTCAACGAACTAATTTGATAAAAAAGGTTTTGCAAAAACCATAATATCATTGAACGATTCAAACTGATGTAATAATTGGAATGCACATTGATTTTTTGTAAAACTTCAAAATTTTATCTAGTTACGCGGCTCTTTTTTCTTAAAATGCTGGCCTTTATATTTTTTTTGTTAAAGGAAAGAAAGAATTTAAATTGTCCATTAATTTAAAGAGAAAAAGAAGAACCGTTCAACTGTGATAATGTTTTTGTTTTATTACAAATTTATATCCAATTGGCATATCATAGAACTTTTTTAGCTAAATTTTTTTAAAGTTTACCCTCAATTCTTTTTTAAATTAATTTATTTTTTTCTTCTATACATTCCATGGAATTCATTACCCGTGAAATATTATAGATCCTAAATCCTTTTACTATAGTCATTGGATTGTCAGCATAAGTACCAAATTTTTGTGATTAACTTGAATCTAAATGGAGACGTAAAATTTTTTGGTGATAAATAAATAAATAAAATTATTTATTCCCCTTTCAATTTCGTTTTTTTTTCGTTTTTTTAATCAAAAAACCGATGTGAGATATTAAATGTGATATAATTTATTTTAGCGAGTTCTTTTCTTTTCATTTGTTATCAGACTTTTTTTCTTTTTGGTCAATTCTGGTGTTTTTTCGTTTCATTGTGATACATTGTTTTGTGATTTGCTGAGTGGCCAAAGAATGAAACCACACAAGCAGATAGAAAAATTTCTTTGAATTATTTGATTAGGCAGTGGGTGGACAAATCGTAAACGGCATTCGAAGCCTATAATTGGAATGTCCATATAGGTTTTTGATGAGAAGTAGTCAATCTTCTTTTTTCTATTTTTTTGTGTATTGACAAACTCTATTTGGCTGCTATTGTAAAACTGTTGGATTCGATAAATTAATTTCTTTAACATATTTTTTTTCATTTAATTAACATTCGATAAAATAATTTTAAATTATTTTTTAATAGGACGCATCAATTGGCTGATTGCATGGTTATAAAATTAAAGTATTTAGTAAACTCTAACTCTAACTTAAATAAACTCTATTTGGCCCTGTCCCCAAAGTTGCCCATCTTTATATTGAGAAGACCTTCTCAAAATATAGAAGCTGAGCTCACGCTAATGATAATGACCATTGACGAAACTTAAAACTTCATAAACTCATAGATTCATCTTAAATAAAAAAAAAAACCATCCTTAGATTAGCAAATAGCGAGAAACATTGAAATTTATTGCATATAACCGCTTTATACCAATATTTACAATTCCATTTAAAAATTATTGAAAAAATAAAAAAATGCTGCGGGTATTTTTAACTAACTACAATAAATTAAACAGAGGTTTATACAAACTAACAATTTTTAAAACAATCTTTGACTGACTTGAAAATATAAAGTGATAATGATTATCTGCTAACTTTACGATCAGCAACTTCAGGTACTTCATGAAAGAAAGATAAATTTTGTTTTGCAAATGGTGATGCAGGTGTAATGTCTCATAGTACCTGATCATTGCATATCAACGAAAACATAATCAATTTGAAAAAAGAAAAATAAAATATAAGCCCCAAATACAAAATAAACCGATATCAAATTAAATAAAAAACCTACATAAAATCTACCAGCAAGGAAATTAATAAAATCAAAGCGGTACCAGCCCAGTGGTACTTCCTTCATTCCCGACAAAAAAAAACTCATTTCTATCTCAGCAAACAAACTAACAATATTCCATGTTAACAGATAAAAAAAATGGATACAAAAAGAACCATCATCAATAGAAAAATAACTTATGAACATTATAAAAAAATTTTTTTGCAAAAAACACCGAAATAACTAAATAAATACGAAAATATCACATTGAAAGATTTCTGTTTGTAAAAGAAGTATAATGGGAACAGAATAATTTTTAAATATTTTTTAAAAACTTTTAAAAAAATACTGAGTACATTTCTACCGTAATGAAGAAAAAAGAGAATAGAATTCCAACTGGCATTTTCCTTTTATCAATAAAGCCAAACCTTTTCAATAAACAGTAAACAAAAAACAAAAAAATAATTGTTGGATAATTCATGGATAATAATGATGAACTGAATTTATACATCCCTAAAGAAAAATGCCCAATGAAATATCTGCTTAAATACTCGGGAAAAAAATGCAATTTATGAAATACATAAAAAAAATAAAAAAAAAATATAATAAAATATTGGACTTTTCCTGTTTATTTCGTCTCTTAGGTTTACCTTTACTTTCCATTTTTCACTTTCATGTTCAGTAAAGTAAATATGAATTAAAGAATTAACAGGAAAAGCCTGTGGACTAAAAGACAATAAACTATGCATGAAAAAAGGCCAACATTAAAAATCATTAACAATTAATTAAAATTAATTTTGATATGAAATTCAACTCAATTAATTATTTCCAAGTTATTAACACAATATAATAAAAAGCGCGATTAATTTAAAATTAATTAAAATGATTTAGAGAAAAATGAAAATAAAAATCGGTTAAAACCAACAAATATTTAAAATTACATAGGGGTTGTAAGGATTCCATTACAAAAACCACCAAAAAAAAACAATCAAGACTTAATTTGAACTCAAAATATTCAATAGATATTACTAAAATAATGAAATGAAAAGAAATAAAACAAAGAAAAATGATAAAGCGACAAGCTTTCATATTCTCACAATCAATTACGATAAATGACATCAGGATATAAACAACTTGTTCTGAAATGTGGTTAATTAATCAACGTTCAGCGCGAAAAAACAAGAATTTGAAATATATAAAATGACCTACGCTGTGGTAAGATCCAAGTTAGGCAAAAGATGACGAATATTATTTGCGCCATTGATATCGTCAACAGTTTCACGTTTAATATCGATCATTGGACGAACTACTGCACATCGCGTACTCGGTTTACGTAAAATATTTGATGAACTTGGAATGAGTACAGAAGCAGAAGCAGCATTATTATTGCCCAGTGAAGAGGTGATAGAAGATACTGCCATATTTCCATTTTCGATTCCAGTCAGGCTAAATAAATAACGTCAATTTATTCTTCGAAAATTGAAGTAGTTAGAATAAGAGATATTGGAATAATATTGAGAAACTAAAAAAAAGAACTGTGCAAAACAGAAATTCGTGCAGATCTAATAAGTGAAAATTGTTATGAATAGTCCACCTTCAGCCAAAATGCACAAACAGGAAAAATTGCAAATAAAAGGTTAATCGAATTGATAACGCCTCATCTTCTGTTCGTCAAATGTTTTAAAATGGTGAAAAGTCAATTGATGAAAAGGCAACAGACCCGAAAGTAGTAAGTCCTTCATCCTCATCGGATGACGATGACAAAGTGATTATTGAGTGAGCGGGTGATATTTCATTATTATTTCTCATTCTGTCGTTTTTCGAGCATCTAAATAATTAGTCTTAACCATAAACCACAATTTTAAAAGGAAATAACACAATTTACTGGAAAAAAACCATGAGTGGCATCTAATTTTTCAAAAAATGGTTCTGACGATTTGGATTTTCAGTCAAAATTTATCGCCTTAAGACGACTGGAAGCATTATTTTAATAAATCAATAAGCCTTCCCAAACTAGGAATCTAGGAATAAATAACTAATGAGCAAATATTTCGATAAGATTATGTTCACCATTAAAGTGCGTTAAAAAAATCGAGTGCTTTGAGACGTTATAAATTAATCTTGAATATAATAAACGTTTAAAAGATGAAAGAAATTTTCCTTGAAGTTAAAAAGATAAATATAATTTATAGAAGCGAGAAACTGATCAACTGAAAAAACAAACTAAATAGGCAAGCAAAATAATCTAAAACAAGAAAATATTTAGCACACTAAGAACTCTTGAAGGATTTTCCAGGAAAAAGTGAAAGATTTAAAGCGAAAGATAAACTTTAAAATGAAGGAAAAAACAATGAACCTTGTCGGATCCAAAAATTTAGAAGGATCTTCATTACTGAATCTAGAAACTGCAGCCAAGATAGCATGATCTTTCGTTAAATTATTTTGAGTAACTCGTGGCCTAAAGTTGACAGAAGTGGACGAGGAATTATTTCTGCCTGAGTTGGCAATCCTTCTTGAAGGCTGCAAATATGTTTGGGACCAGTCATCCTGAAAAAAACAAGTTTTAAAGTACAAAACACTGGGAACTTGAAAATTTAATTAAAAAATTTCTAACTACAGAACTGAAGAAAGCTGATAAAAAAAGCATTTCAATACACCAAATAAATAGCAAATGAACAAAAAACTTGTCTGCAAAACTTGGACTTAATGATTTAATAAACTTAAGGATAAAAAAAAATTACTAATACGATCTGAGGCGGTTGACCGAGCGCTAAATCCATATAGTTTTTTGTAGTCTGTGCAGGGAAAATTTGGGAAAAATGTTGCGCTGCTGCTGCCGCTACAGCAGCTGCATTTCTCGACGAAGCCAAAGCTTGTACGGCTGCAGGAGAAGGCAAAAGAAATTCACTTGGAAAAAGAGCTGTAGCTGCGGAAGGTTGCTGTGCTGCTGCACAAGCAGCAGCAGCTGCACAGGCTACGGGCCAAGACATTAAAGGAGCTGGAGCTGCCGAAGACCAAGCAGGAGCCTGAGGCAATGCTGATGCAGCTGCCAATACTTGCGGATCTACTATTGAAACTGGAACCAACTGCGGTAGAAGTGGTGCAGCTGCATGAGGCCCCGCGAAACCAACAAACTGAGTCTGACGGGCTAAAATTTATATAATATTAGGTAAAATTTTATAACCAGAAAAACTAAATATCAAAATTACGAATAAAATGAATAGAATAAAAATGAATGATTATGAATAGAATGAATAGAGTTAACTTAAAATAAAAATATAAAAAGAAAACAAAAAATGTAAACAAAAGGGCAATAGAGATATAAAAATAAAAACGCATATAAGTCTAGCACCATTATTCTGGTCCAATATGCAAATATATCTTATATATCTTATACCTTATATGTCCAAAGTAGCAAAAACATCCAAAAAAATAGCAATTTTTAATATATTACCTCACAATTGCTCTTGATATTTTCATAATAAATCACCCTTATTACCCATAAAAACCTCTCTCTCGATCTATGGTGTATAAGTGAATCTTGCCTTAATAACTAAATATCGTTACATCACCCTCTGAAATGCTATAATCAGTAGCTGTTGTCGTAACAAAAATACACCTTTTGTGCTTACAAAGCATAATAAATGCAAAGACGTTAAGAAACTAAATGGATCTAAGAATGAGGGCAAGAATGCTTGAGTATAGCAATGAATCAAAAGCGAGAATTTGCTGAGTTTTCTGAGTATTTAGTGGAATATTTTATAATGATAGAAATCAAGATTCAACATGAAAAATGTTTCAACATGAGAAATCAGTAAGACATGCCACAATTCCTTTTTTCCTGATATAAATAAGTCTATATATCCATAATAACAGCATCGTATTGTATAAATAATATGATAAAATGTTTTAGGAGTTTAAGGGGATTTGGAAGCAAGAAGTGCTTTAAATAGCCGTAAATTAATACAATGATTCAGTGGACTGTTGCTAAATTCGAAGCGACGATGTCCAAAATCCGGGTGACTGGAGACTCACCTGTATTTCTATCGCCAAAGAAGTCCTTGGCATATTTATCCAATGCGAGTACAAGCCAACGGAGCGAATTTAACCAGTAATGATGACTTTTAAAAAATTAACACAATATAATGGAGTTTTGGAGAATTTAAATAAAAAGATGGAGAAGTTTGAAAGACTGTTAATGTGAGGAAAAAGTTTAGATATTGCTATTAAAATATCCTAATGGAGTACAATGAGACATGAAAAAAAAATGAAAGTTTTACAAATTCCAAGGAAAAAATAAGATAAGATAATGAGATAATGTAGACTCCAATAAAAAATAAGATAATGTAGGCTCCAATAAAAAATACTACGAGGAGATTTAACATTACGTTAGAGTACCAGGAGGATTAAAGGAAGCAATGGGAAAAGGAGTATATGGAGAGTTCACAAATTCCAAGGAAGTGAAGTGAAGTGATTGCCAAGGAAATGATTCTGAAAGAGTAGAAGTAAGATAATTTAGAATGAATTTAGCGAATAGCTAAAGTGAAATATGGCAAAATTCGATGGAACCTTAAGGGCTATCAAGGACTCTTAAGCCATATAATAGGTTCATGTGAGACACAACGGTGGGAAAGGGAGAAAGAATTCAGGGATGGACAAGATATTAAAGAATAGACTGAAAATATTTAAGAACAGAGTTTCAGATGGAGAACAGCTTTTAATGGAGATTTTTTCATTAATTATGGAAAATCTTATTAGCCACAGTCTTCCTCGAACACCAATCATAATTGATAAGGTTTCGCAAGACACTATCGTTGCCTTATAGCTTAAACTGATTATTCAAATCTGTGGGGAAACAAGATCAATCAAGCCTCTCATGATCCCTATTACCATATCCAACTCACATTCGAATAAATAAACTCGCTATTAAAATACCTAATTCTTTTTGTATCCAAATTCTTAAGACATAGAAAACTCTTGATCACAAAGTATTACAAGACGCATAGAGAAGTTTGATGAAAGTAAAGGGAATGAGATATAATGGAGAAAAGGTTCACAAACACATACTCATAATAAACAAGAAATTAAATAAAAGAAAATCAATCGTGTTGGCAAAATAAAATGAAAGCTAATTTAAATGATTTAAAATTACTAAAACATGAAGTTTAAAAAAACTACCATATGGTAAAACAGCGGCCAAAGGCTGGTAAATATAAGATGGATTGCCATTTTGCGAATTCGCTACAGCTGCTGCTGCTGCTGCCACGCCGTACTGATTAAGTAAATGACTGAAATCGGTTTGCAATTGTGGGATTTGTTGTACATTCGGTCCCGATTGAGCGGCAGCAATTATTGGTGCTGGAGCAGCGGCTGTAACTGTAGAAGATGCCTGATGAGTGACAGAATTACCTCTATGTTGATATAATTGTGATGGAATAGCAGCACGACCACCACGCACACAAACTTCCATACGCTGAGCAGAAACTTGGAAACTATAATACATTCATTTATGTGTATTATTTGCAATATCTATACAAATAAGGATATAATAAAGATAACCACTAAAGAGATAACATTTTGAAATTATTAATTATTATTTAAAAAATTAATTATTATTATTATTAAAAAATTAATCATTATTTAAAATTATTAATTATTATTTACTGACTTATGTTCAAAATTAGCAAAATTAACCGTTAAAAAAAGAATAAAAAGGACTCACTATTTAGTTCGACCATATTCGATCAAATGATTCATAGTTATAAATGGATGATGGAGACCTTCGAAAGGATTTATGCGTTTCTCCTGATCCATGCATAACATTCTTTTCAAAATATCCACAAATTCTTGCCGATCAATACGTTCGCAAACCATGTCCATTGCATCAAGATCCGTAGGAATGTTTACCTGAAATTTTTATTATCTTAAAAATAAAAAATCTGTGAAAAAATGTATTATATAAAATAACCAGCAAACATTACTTTGTTCCATGACTAAAAAAAATAACCTGTGAAATATCTTCCAAACAATTGAAAACATATTTTCGTGTTTCTTTCGATTTGCTTGATGATTCGTTTTCATGTTCTTCGGTACTTTTCAGACGCCAGTATGGTGCAACTCCATTATCATGAATCTTTAATCGCTTATTTTGAATGAATTTCAATGATTACAACGAAGAATAACAAAAAATGAATAAGAAATTGTTTCCCAATTCTGGTGTCCTTCTTCTAACAACTTCTTACCATTACTAGACTGGCTATAAAGACAAGAAGTTTGCAAGCTATTCGACCCGACCCCATCTTTATCAATGATAGTAGCTTTTTCCATAGTTTAAGTCCATAAATTGCTGACTTATGTTCAAAATCTTTCCTCACTATCTATCATAGGATTTAGTAAATAACGAAATATGCATCTACTCGTGATTATAAAAATATTGGTGGACAATATTGAAGAATGTGCTCTAACCAGCGAAAGCTCTCTGATAATAGTATTTAAGTGAAGACTGTTGCAAATATATGAGATTTTATCCACTATGCGAACTCGTAAAATGCATCTTAGACATGAGTGGTTAAAAGCAGATAATTTCTTAATATCCTCCAATCTCATTGACCATGTCTCGTAATCATTTAACAAGATCTTGCAGTTATATACCCGAATTTTCGTTTTGAGGGTGATTTCTAGATGGTTTCACAAAGATTTATGGTGCCCTAGAAAAATATTCGATGCAAACCTGCTTGAAGAAACGGTGAGTTTTAGCAGCTGTAGAAAGCATTTGCAAAGGTGGCAGACCTTGCGTCTGCACAATGTAACGGATTTGATCGTATTCACTACTCCCAGGATATAGAGGCCAACCCAGAAAAAGTTCAGCGATAACACATCCAAGAGACCACATATCAATTGATTCACGAAACGGCAAACCAAGAATTATCTCCGGAGCACTATAACGAATAAGACTAATTTTTCTTTCTCAACTTCATATAAATTTCACGGACTTAATTGCTGTTATGCAGAAATTTTCATTGTACAAAGTATCAAAAAGTAGCACAAAAAAATCGATTGTAAAATGTATTACCGATAGTAACGTGATTGCAAATATGTATTAGTAACTGCCTTGCTTCTATGTGATGCAGAACCGAAATCGATAACCTTTACACGAAAAGGCTGATTTGTAGGATCAACAAGCATTATATTTTCAGGTTTAAGATCAGCATGTATGAGACCCAAATGCTTCAATTTCATAAGAGCTGTGAGTACCTTAAATATAAACCATAAATTTATATCAAATAACCGCAGTCATAAAAATGGTATTTATATGCAGGTGCATTCCAATTATCAAATAACTGAAGTCACAAAAATGGCATTTATATGCAGATGCATGCCAATATGTTGACGGTATTTTTTGCTCTTTAATTTTCAAAGCAAATCAAAGGTAAAAAGCAACTTGTATTAAAAAATCACTTGCTGAACAACTGGTCGAATACTTGAAAGTGGCAATGGAGTAAATTTATTTTGTTTAAGAAAATCATAAAGATTTTGTTCCAACATTTCGAATACAAGGCATGTGTGATTTTTATGTTGAAAGCATTCAAAAGCTCGCACAAAGTTAAACTCTTCTGCATTTTCGTTGCTCAGTCGAGATAATATTGAAACCTAAAATGAAAATCAATACATAAAAACTAAAATTTACCGTTGATAAAGACTATAAACCTCTAAACAATTCGTTTAAGACGAAAATATTTAACGGTTGTAAAAAACAAAATGAAATAAACTAGCAAATCGAACTTCAATTTGTCCTTGACGAGCATAAGATGGGTGCTTTTTCAAAATTTTTATCGCTACAATTTCATTCGTCCCTTTTTTCCAAGCTTTTACAACTTGTCCAAATGTTCCTTTCCCAAGAAATTCGAGCACTTCATATTGGTTGCGATAGGGAGAGACGAGCACCTCATTCTTTATCAACTAAAAAATAATGTCACTAGTACTGCAAATTTAAAATTAAAAGAATTTTCTTGACTAACCAACAGTCTATCAATAGTAATTTCTTCAGTTTCTAACAGTTTCTTTCTTTTTTTCTTCAATTCACTTTCCGTTCTTTCTTAAAATTCCTAAAAAACTGTGGTACCTGATATTCTCCTTCTGTACACTGTTTCGATTTGGCGCTCGTCTTGTTAGACAATTGCTTCCCACTCGTTTTGATTGCGACCTTATTTCCAGGAATAGAACTAACGGTGTCACCTGATAGTTCACTCTACAAATAAAAAAAATCAAAAAAAATTGTTAAATGGAATTGATTAATAATGTAAGGAATAAAGAATAAAATGAAAACAAAATCTTTAAATCGCTAAATTCATAAATAAGAAATTGAAAAATGTAAATTTTGCTTATTAAAATTATTCAATGATTTTTCTCTTTTTCCACATTAGCACTGGAAACTGCCGATAATTTATAAATAGTTAAAAGATTACTATGAATAGATAAAACCGTCTTCAAACCGAGGCAAACCATCTCTCAATATTGTTTGTTAAATCAACAATTTATCGACACTTATCACTATCCTCCTTTCTCTCTTGTTACTCCCTTAATATTTCCAGTCATATTCATTTCACTCATCCTGACTTTTTAATTTGTAGCTGTTTGAAAATTGCGCTGCGAGATTTAATAAGGTGTTGAGGAACGTAATGAATGTAGGTGACCTTACAACTGGACTAAAAGAAATTAAACGAATGGATGAAGAGGCTATTGAAAGACAATAAAATTTTGGAGATTTTGAGCTATCGCAATTTGCAGAGGTTTTGTTTTTGAAAAAACCAGTTTCATCAGTTCATCAAGAGGGCCGAAACTTTTTAGAGGCACATGCAAACACCAACATCACAAATTATTATACAGAAACCACCATGACTTTTACTCCATAATGGTCAAAACACCCACCCCACTGAAGTACCGAAATAATTTGACAAACATAAATTTTTTTTGGCGACTAAAATTAGTCAGAAAATTATTCAGCAAAAAAGTTGTGATAAGCTTAATCAAAGACCTATTAATATTACGCATTAATAAATCCTTATCATACAATGATAATACCTTACTTTTATATTATCTGAATTTTCGTCAGTTTTGCGCTTAAACCCACCACTTTTTTGTTCCCCACAGCCGTATCGTAATAAATTATCAAATACCTGAAATATAAATTCTACTAAAAATTTCAATAAATTCAAATTCCTTTTAAATTCCTTGATTAATTTTTGATCCTTAAAAAAATTGAATAAAAACTGTTGGATGGACTAGCGATATATGGACTTAGACGATAGACAAAAAAATGACTTCTGTTTATTGTTAGCAGTCGTATCAGATCAAATAGTTTGGAAACGCCTTGTAAACAGCTGATCCGGCCAATTCAATAATGGTGAAGGCTGTTAGAAGTAGGAAATATTATAACAACTTCTTTGTCATAAATATTTACGATCCTCTATTTTAGAATCATGTCACTCTCATTTTTAACTCAAAAATGGATGAATTCCTTGAACTAATCTTATTTACCTAAACAATTAAAACGTTTCTGAAAATTAAAAAGATAGAACTCAAAATTGTTTCAATCAAAAATTAATATCCTTAAATTCGCAAAAGAATTTTGTCAAAGCATTTTATCATGTTGTTTCGACCGCCTTTTACAGATTTCTAAATTGCGGCTGCAAGTCACCGATGAAATCCTATCCGCCCCAATTTTCAAAGGTATTTTTTGAGAATGAGCTAATTAGCATATGTATATTTAAGAAAATGCATTATATATTCATTATAAAATGCATTAAATGCATGAGAATTGTTCGCGAATACGAAACTTTGCTTGCACTGCACAGAAATCTTAAAAGCACTTTATAGGAAAAATATATAAAACGAATTCCCTCGAACAGCATTCGAATTTAAAATGGTGATTTGGCAAATAAGAGCGTTTCTGTAAACCATTAATGCTACTTTTGTCGTTTATAATTTATAAAATAAATTAGCAGTTTCTAAGAGGAAAATCAGCAGCGTTATTAAATTAAAAATTTAAAACTTCATAAATCATATATATGTCAAAAACTGATAGTACAAAAGTATAAAAAAAAAAAAAAAAATGAACCGGATTAGCTGGCGTATTTGTATTATTCGCCAAACTTGTCGGCATATGAATTTGTTGCTGCGAATTTTGCAGCAATAAATTTGGCGCTAACGACGAAGAGGATAATTCTTCGGAAAATTTGCGCTTTCTCGAACAACGACGATTTTCCGGTTCCGGCATTCCACATAGAAAAAATCACCGGAAATACAATAATTCCTAGCCGTTTTTTGCTTGTTTATCCTTCTTTTCGTCGCCCTTTTCCATTAAAAAAAAATATTAAATTTTTTATAGAAACAAAGAAAAATTTGCGAAATGAAGGGAATTTTTTTAGCCGAAAAAGTACTCGCCACTTTAAAAAAAAATTTACCAAATCTCCGTTTTCGCTGTTGTTTTGTCGCCAAATTTTCACTATGAAATCCTGTAAACCATGACTACCCACACCTGAAAAAAAACGAATCTGACCCAGTCGTCGACCTCTGACCCAGAAAAACTCAGGTCAAAACGCAAAAAAACGGCCAATGCAGCGCCAGAACCCAGCAAAACTCATAGACGCGACCGTCTCATCATACGTTTTTAAATAACACTCAGTTAAAGCGAATGACGTCATTAGTTTCGACACTCTACGCAGTCAAATTTAACATAAACGAGAGAGCATTGCATTCATGAGGGATTAGGCGGAAAAACGACCAGTGTTAGAGACTATATGATTAGGTTGAAAACAAAGCCAAGTACATAGGTCGGCTGAGAAAGAGAACATTCTCGTAGAGTGAAGAGCGAAGAGAATTAGTGATTAAAACGGAGTGATCGCAGGCGAGAGAGAGAAAAAAATCAGCGTCGTTATAATGGAGGTAAGAAAGAAGAAGAGAAAAGTCATTATCGGGTTGATCTGAAGTATTGATCGGTCCGAGAAGAACAAAAATTTGGGTCGAAAGTGGGTTCTGACTTGACTTATTTCGAATGGACGAGTGTGGGGACGGCATGTTTTCGAAATAAATATTAAGAGGGCAAATAAAGATTCTTTCTACAAAAAATACCGGCGGAGGTGGATTTTTTTGGTGCGGCCTGTGCATCTCTTTTTGAAGCCTATAGACCCACTATTGAAATCTACGGACGCTTTCTTGAAACCTACAGGCATTTTCTGCTTAAAATGCTCCGAATAGACAGGACAATAGGATAATATAGGATAATACAAGTATTTTGGTTTGGCACTTATATTCATTGAAATGCTTGATATCAGTTATTTGTGGAAATAAAGGTTTATTCCATCGAAGTTCTCCCCAAAATATTCACCTCAGGCTGAAAACCTAAGTTGAGGCCAATTGTGCAATTTCGCTCTCTTTCTTTCAAAAGCTCGCACCGCTACTGGCGCGATTAGTTCCATTTGCCATTAGGATGAAATGTCTTCCGGTCTTACTCCTTTTTTCAACTTATATACCTATAAATTGCCTATAAATCTATCTAAGATCTTTCTTTCTTTAAGACTTTAAGACTTTGTCGATCCAGGTTTTGGTTAGTTCTCCTCGCTTCGCATGAATGGATTGATTTTATCGCTCTGACGCACTGCTCCTTTCAAAAATATGCCGGATTTCCGTACTTGTAAATGGGAGACACTAGCTCTACGCAGTGATAATTCGGATGATATTCTCTGGAATACCTTCGCAAGTGCATCAAACTTTCTTGCCTCTGCTTGTTTAATTAAGGCAGTACCAAAGCGGACACAATGACGATAGGTTAGCGGTATTTCAAGAGATGCCCAAATTTCGTAACGTGATTAAAATATCGTATGGCCAGTCTCCGTTCTAATTCAGGCTGATTAGGATGCATCGCCTGTTCTCGCGTATCGCCGCCTATCGTAAGTCTGTTCTAATCACTCCTTGCCACAATCCTTCAATCACATGGTATCAGTTTTTTCTCTGGAGAAGCGAGTATATCCTTCGAATGTTAATATGGCAGTTTTTCAAAATTTATTTATTTATTTAATAACAACCGAGCGCTATGTGCTGGTATGGCAAAAAAAGCATTTATAACACAAAGCAAATTAAAAGAGAAATAAAGCAAAGGGAATAATACGAATGGGGGAAATATCATAAAAAGAAATTGCAAGTAAACATATGCGACAATAGTAGAAGGGAATATAATGGATCAGTGGGGTGTTGCTCAGTGCGGATCGGATGCCGATGCTGAAGTTCTATTCCCTGTAGGAGTAGGAGTAGACCTGTCCAAAATCCGGCTGGTGATGGTGACTCACCCTTCTATCGCCAAGGGGCTCGCTGGCTATTTGTCCAGTGTGACAAGTCAGTGGAGCGAGTTTAACCAGTAATGGTGAGGAGTCCAAAAAAAAAGAACACAAGACGCGAATGATGCTATAAAATTTCTTTTAAAAGCTAGAAATTCGAGGAGTACAACGTCGCTAGGTGGTTTATTCCACTGGTACTTAATGCTTCTAATGGCAAAATATCGAACAAGATAGTGCTCTTATAGATTGGTTTACGTGACTTCAATCCATAACTGCTGATATCGTTATGAATTAGGCTTATAATAATTATTGCATCTTGGATTGGACTTACATACTCATATAAAACGTTGCATGTGAAAGCCAAAACTTTGGTTCTTCTGATCCTAAGCGAATCCAGATTCTGCAATCGGTTGATTATGGTTGACTGAAACGATAAAGTAATTTTGCCTATAACATGTTCGAGCAGCCTTCTCCATTTCGCACAGCGGTTTTTGTCTCAGCATGCCTTCGAAATACCTGTTAATAAGGTCTCCTGACTCTTAACCACTGAGATTTAGCTTGAGCCTTTTAACTAGAAGAATTTGTCGAGGAACGCATTCATTAAGTCTAACAGTCAAGCTTGATTTAACCATGCACGAACTTGAATAGCAAAGAAGATTAAATGAAGAGTCTGCCACACAATTTCGTTGTGTTTTCGAATCATATTTTCGTATTTCTGAGATAATCTACGCCACGGTGCTTTTAGAATTAGAATTAACTGTAACAACTCATGTACCTATCATAGCAAAATGAAAACTTCAAATTGCTTCGAAAAGCGCAACTTTAAGATCGAATTGAAAGTGGAGAATCGAAAACGTAATGCTAACCCGGAGTGTAATGTTCTTACGAGTTACAACTCTGTACGCCGCGAAAAAGTTTCGTTTCTCCCTCGTAGAAGCTGGCATTTGGCAATGTTAGAAATAATATTGAAAAATTTAATTCCTGTAGGGGCTTCAACAATGGCCAAGCAATGAAAAAAAAAACAGTTTGCTGGAGTATATAATAAAATACAAAATTATTTTTCATTTCTGAGCTACTTTTACGGCTTATTTCAAGTGAAATTTTAATTAAGATCCCTTCGAATAAATTAAATGTTAAATGATTATCGCTTCCAACAAACCGAAGCACACAGAAGAATTATGGTGCGCTATTTTTTTACATGGGAAATTGCTTGATTGCCTTGCCTTCTCACCTAATGTATGTTTGGTTGAATGTTTTGGTCGAAAACTGGTTCGCTTCCTTTTCTGATTTTGGAATAAAGTGATTTTCGTCTCTAATCACCGTTTGTATTTTTTGTATACCTAAATTTATCATTAGAAAAGATTTTATTTATCATTTACTTTGGAATAAAATGATTTTCGTCTCCAATTACCGTTTATATTTTTTATATACCTAAATTTATCATTAGAAAAGATTTACCATCTATACTGAAAAATATCTTATTCACTATCACTATTCGTCGTTAGATAGCAAGATTTTCGTACTATTAATTCATAAATCTTATCAGATTTCTATTGCCATATGCTATAGATTTCGCGATAAAATGATCTTTATTAGTGTTTTAAAATCGAGCGATTGATAACGAATGATAAGCGTAAAAGAAAATTTTACTCTTAGAGGAATGAAAATCATATAAAAACAAGAGGACGACGATGATTGCCTTTTTCATATTTGTCATCTATTCACTTATCCTGTTGGAGTATTATTAGCCTCCATTTTCAAAATTAACGATATTTTCATGAAAATCTCTTAGGACGTATTATTCATCTATCGTTGAACATTAAAGCTGAAAGAGAATTATCGAGAATTTGATAGTAATTTTAAGAGATATTAACTGTGAATTTTTAAAATATACTGAACTGCTGCTACTGGAGAAGGAGAAAACTGAGCCTTTTTCATACTTTCATACGTTGGATTGTTTTAGGATTATATTGAAACGATATAATTTGAATGATTTGGACCCGGCTTATAATCAACTCGTAATAAATCGTATTAAGTTAATAGGGACTGCAATGTCTGAATTAGATCAGTTCGGAAGTTTCGTAAATAAGATTCGGATGTCCAGAAAGTTAGCGACTCATATAAATGGGTTGCTGGCGACCAAGCTGTACTTCTTTTATCGGCAAGTGGAACTTTAGAAAAAAATTTTTCGTCGCATTAGCGGTCAGTGGAGCGAGTCTAATTTGGATTCTCTCTTCTTTCTGTCGTATTCTTTTTTATTTTAAGAGTAGTCATCATTTGTTTAGGTTTGCTTTTCTGGCTTGTTCAACCAGATTCATGCTGGGAGTAGAACCTCAGTGCGGACACTCCAAAACGAGAGTGGCAATCTACTGAGCCTCATTTTCCATCGCAGCTCTTGGAAAAAGCTTTTCCAAACTTTTTCTTGCATCGAAATATTTTACATATTGCAATATGAAAGTTTGAATTTGTGGCAATTTGGGTTTAAAAACAAACATTGTTCCTCCGTCAATACATATATAAAAATTATTGTGTGCCTTAGTTTGAATTTAATATTATAACTTTTATGATATTATACTATTATTATATTATTAATATTATACTTTTAAAATTGCAATAACAGCCCGTCATTTTGAAAAGGAGCCAAAGAAAAAATTTAATGCAATCGTGTTTCTGTGCCTTCAAACCACAAATTCTTTCATTATCAGATATGATATGATAGCCGAATTCTTTTATTATCAGATATGATATGATAGCCGAATTCTTATGTAAAGCATGATGAGTGGCGTCAAGCTCATTCCTTTGTTTTGTTGCACACGTAATATAAAAATTTTCACATAAATAGAGAAGGTAAAGAGAGATAGATAATATTCGAATTGCTCGATTTGACGCTGGGATTATCCAAAAGTCCAAATCCAAAAATTGTTTAATGGAAGTTCCGTATATTTCAAATCAGAGTTAAATCAACTAATTAATCATTAATTGAATCAAACAAACAAAAATTCTTTTGGACTCCTTCTCATTCATTTGCAGTCAAATGGCTTAGCTAGTAAATAGTTTTGTAAATCTAAGAAATTGTCCTCGGAGTTTTTGGAAAAATTATAAAATAAATGAATTCGAACAAATGGAAAAAGAAAAATTTAAATTCCTGCAAACTTACTTGTCCTTTACTTATATTTGAGAAATTCAGGAAAGCAAACCAATGTTTCGATGAATTTAGGCAAATAATCTAAAGAATTCACGGAATATAAATAAAATTAGGGATAAATTTTAAGAGTTTGCTAAACATTATTCCATCCGCAATATTTCACTGTAACCATCTTTCTTCTAATAATTTTTTTATTCGTTGGCTTTCCTAAAATTATTGCAGTTGATGTAATTTTTAAATATTATTTAATTGAATATGAAAATTCTAATTGAAACTTTTCTCCACCTATTGGACGAATTATATATAATCTAATAAATACAATAAATATACTGCGGGAAAACAACAGTTGGTGCGTTTATCAGCGTTATTCTGCACTAACTGAGCATTTGCCATATGACCCCTCTTCTTTCATTTCTTCTTCCATCTTATTTCATTTTAACCATCTTTATTTTATTTCTTATTGATTTTAGTCGGTTATCAGCAATATATGCAATCTAAAAAATTCTTTAAGTACTTTTTTGTACGAAAGAATTGAGAAGGAAAAGAATTTAGAAGGAAAATGAAAGAGCTTAGTCTTCATAGGAAATTGCTACCGAATTAACTGCTTATTTCGCCTTTTAACTCTTCGTTATTGGTTTGGTTGGCTGGCTTCTTGGCTGTATGGATATGGTGCAACTGCTTGCTTTGCTTATGCTAGGTTACTCTAATAAATCTATCGCAAATGAGTTATTTTTGATAATATCACAGGACAAAAATGAAATTTTTATTGATTCCTATGCGTCAGGACGTCGAGAACTGATCATTCGTCTGGGCTATTTACTTTTCACAAAGCAAAGAATTATTCTCATCGTGAAGTGGGATCATCATAGTGGAAATAGATAAAATCGGCAAAATAACTATTGTTTCACGTCGAATAGAGTTTAATTTTTTTTGGAAATCTTAAGTAAATCTTGGCAGTTGGTGCATATATGTTTCTTGTTCTTCTTCTTCTAACAGCTTTCATCATTACTGGCTACACTGGCTATAAGACGTTTCCAAGCGGCGCAATGTGATGTCGTCGTCGACAGTAATAGAAGCCATTCCTTTTTCCATCGAGTAAGTCCACATATATTGCTGGTCCACCTATTCGTTCAAAATCTTTCGTAGGTCTCAGTCCAGGTCTTGATTGGCCCACCTCGTTTTTGACGCCATCGAACACAGGATTCAGCAAGTAGCGAAATATGCGTCAATTCTTGCGGAAGACGACGGAGAACGTGCCCTAACCAGCGAAGGCGACGCTCTATATTAATTCAAGTAGTATATGAACGAAGATGGATGCGATCATGTGAGATTTTATCCACTCGGCGAATTCTTACCTCAGACATGGGATAAAGGCAGATAATTTTTTAATATTTTCATTGGCCATGCCTCGCAGTTATATAGGAAGATTGAACGAACGGGCTTTAGTTTTTATAATGATCTCACGACGGCTCCATAAACGTTTCGTCAATCGGAAGAATGCATTTCTAGCTGCCATTTCATCTTTAGACGAGCCAATCGGTATTAGAATGGATCCAAGGTATTTCAAATCGGGCACTTTCTCAGTCGACAATGAGTTTATAAAAAGCATTTATGTTTCAATACTTATTTAATTAAACAATAGCAAATTTGATCGAAATTTCGTTTATTAGAATATATTTTAAATTTTTTACTTATTAATATTTTTAGATTTTTACAAAAATGAGATTTTCATTGGTTTCGGTTCTTTTTTTAACAATCGCTTATGGTTATAAAATAAAAATGATCCAAGAAAATAAAACACCAAAAAATTCAGCGAAAGATGATGGATTTAAAATAAATATATGCGATGAATGTAAAATGGTATGAATTTTTTATTAAAATGAGTTATACTAAAATCAAATTTTATGGATAAAGGAATATTGAATTGAATCTCGATTTGGATTAAAACTGCAAAAGAAAATTGGATTTGAAATAAATAATACGACAATTTAATTATGATAAAATAGAAAAAGGTCATTTAATATCTAAAAAATATAACAATTTATAGCAAGTGAGTCGATTTATAAAAGCATTAGAAGATCCGGAAAAATTGAATCTTCTGAAGGATATCTTAAAAAGCCTTTGTCCTCAAACTTCTTATGAAGACGAGTGTGCTGCATTTGTTGACGAGCTTGATGTGATCATACGCGAAATGGAACCTTACCTGGTTTGAATTCGTGGATCTTTAAAAGCTTTTTTAATTTTGCATTTAGCCATTTTTTAACTGAAAAAATTGTAGGTAAATATCAATAAAATTTGCAGAATGATACGGCGAAAATTTGTAAATTGATCCATTTGTGTGAAAATCGACGAGTTGATTTATTCCATAAGATAAGTGTATTATATGGTATGATTGGTGATAATAACGAGAAATTCGTAAGTTATAAATTCCATAAAAAATAACTTAATATCAACAAAGAATTTTTGCAGTTTTTACTTATTTCTTCTAATTTTTACATTTTTACATTTCTTTACAAATAATCTTTTGTTTATTAAAAGACAGCAACATTTTCTTTTTTTTTCACGCAGAGAATGCCTAATAAAAATAAATAAAAAATATAACTAAAATAAAAATATTCCAAAATAAAATATTTGAAAAACGATTATAATGGATTTTTTCAGAGTTTTGAAAACTTTTTATTAGTATAATTTAAGCAAAGAATTTCTAATTTTTGAAATTTTTTTCATAAATAAAAAAATTTTTTAAAAATTATCTAAAATTGATTTTGAAAATTTTTTGAATTTTTTTAGAAAAATGAAATGGTATGCGATGAATGCATGTTTGCTGCTAGTGAAGTCAGAGAAACTATTGAAAATCCAGAAAATCAACGAAAAGTTAGAGATTACATTTCAACGGAAGTTTGTTCAAAACTGCGAAAATACAGAGGAACAGTTAGTTTCATTTTTCTCCAACACATCGAAAAAATTTGCAGTTTTGCGGTTTCATTCGTTTGAAATATTATTGGACGATATGTTTAAAGTCCATCGAACATCGAAATGTTAAACTTATTGTTTTATTCCGATTTATTTTAGATGACAATTAGTCAGCAATTTTTTAAGATTTTAGGTGAATTTAGGTAACCGAATAAATTCATTTTCAAAATTCTTTTTAAAATCACATATAAATTAATTCTTAGCTATGATTTGAATATTTAAGTGCGATCTAATGCTGGAACAGTTTTTGCCTGAAGTTTTCAACGAACTCGATAAATTACTCAAAAATTCAAAAAAGGTTAGCTAAGAATTTTAGATAAATTTTATATGAAATTTATTATCGCATAAAAGAGTTGTTCTTTTGTTTTGATGGTTGAAAAATTTTTTTTTTGGCTAATGGTGGTACTAATGGTAGTGGAAAATGGCTAAAGAATAGCTAATGTTTGGCTTTTCCTTGAAGCTTATAGAACTAATGTTATAGAAAATGTTATAGGAAGCGATTATGTATCACTGAGTAAATATGTTAATAAATACGAGTAGGTTTTTGGGCCACAAAAATTTTAAATAACTATAAGCATTAATTTTTTAGGTAACTTAAAGCAGAAAGAAGCTTTATATAGGAAATCTTTCTTCCTCACTGCTTAATATTTTCCCAGCAAAATTTCCCTGATGTATAAAAACTACGACTAATAAATATTTTAAAAACATCAAATAATAATGCTTTGTTTATATACATTATTTTTTATAGTTTTGTGTTGAAATTGGTCTGTGCAATTCTTACAATTCACTAAAAGAAGAATTCGTAGGAGATGAGGTCAGCATTTTCGCCGCATTTGATTTCTAATTGCTTATAAAAAATTAATATTTCTTAAATAATTCTTCGTCAAAATATTTTTTTTGTCAATCCCTTCAGTTATTTTTGATATAAAATGATAATTTGTTCATTTATCAGTGTTGTCAATGGCTTCAATAAAATATTAATTTTTGTTTATCAGAAAAAATTGAATAAAATAAAAGAAAGAATAGAAGATTCATTGATACATTGCGTTATTGCTTTAAATGCGAATATTGAAAAATAAAAAAATGAATTTACTTCCAAAATATTTTTTCGTAAATGAAATAATTAATAATTAATTTACTCGATGAGTTATCATCTCATTTCCTGTTAACCACTTTATCTTATCGTCCCACTCGATTAAAATTTGCTTTCACTGCTGTGCGAAATATTACTCGTCTCTTCACTTGGAGCCCATTACAGAACCCGTCTCTTCAAAGTTATTTCTCGATTGAAGTGCTGCGAATTTTTCACAGCTGCATTTGCATTCTTCATTCTAGCATAACAATGGAACTTTATTTTTTTCATTCCACTGAAAAAAATACCAAAAATACTAAAAAAATATTACTAATAAGTATAAGAACATAGAAATCTATTAATTAAAATTTTAATAGATAAGAGAATCATGCGCATATATTTTATCGAAATTTCAATACCTCGCCATAGAATGTTTAAACGAAACTGCAGGAAATGAAATGGGAATAAAGCATTTCATGCGAACAAGTAAGTAAGATTTGCGACATCTTTAAAAACATTTAATTGTTTCTCATCAAAAACTAAAGCATGTTAAGAAGTAAACTGTGGCACTGTGGTCGATTGCCGTGTTTTGAAAATCTTTGCGAAATTCTGACTGGTAACGAAAAATTTAGATGGTATTGCTTGTTGATTTCAATAAGCTAATCAGATTAGTAATCGACTGTGCTGGTCGATTCGACTTAGTCGTCTATATTTCAGCTATAATCCTCGCTTTGCTCCAAGTATAACAGCAGATTTGTATAACTAAGCCTTTTTTGAGCCATTTTTTACAAAGGGTCGAGTCAAAAGCAATGAGGTTCGATCGACTCTGAAATTTCTTTGGCTTTTGAGTTATTACATTTCCTTTAAAAATTAGAATAGAGAAGTAAAGCCTATATTTTATGACACATTTCAATCACTATCACTTTATCGATATAGCTAAAAGTATATCCATTTAACTTATTTCAAATTATCAGTCAATTTAAATCATTCTTATTATTTATAAGCATTTCTCCTATTCGATCGCCTTAAGAATATAACTGTTAGGGGTTTTTCTAATTTCTTTATTTTTTTAAGTCATATATTATGTTTCGCAAAAATCACATGAAAATTATATAAAATGTGGCAATAAACGATTTTTTTTAAAATAGCGTCAAGCATTTCTGGTTAGGGTCGTGTCATCTGCTTGTCGGACCAGATAAATTTTGTCAAGGAAATAGGTTCACCTGGCGATGGAGCCATAGGTGGCTGGCTAGCACCATTTGAAGTTTTGAAGTTAACTTCAGAAGTAGTAGGAGCCAAGTATCAGCGCTTTAAATGACGTACAACGTATTCTGAGCACTTTTACACACCTTCGTTTATCAATGACAATTTTAGAAAATTTTTTATTCACAATATTAAATAATTGGCCGCAATTACTATCCCAATCGCTTTTTGTTTTATTTTCCATTTTATTCCGTGGTTATGCATCACCACAAAAATGCAATAGGTTTCGTTAATATTTCTCATTTAATTTTACTTATTCTTGGACTTTTATTTGACTGATTTTTAGAATTTCTTTGTGAAATTTGTCATGGGCTTTATCATCAAATTTTGAAGATTCTTGAAAAGCCAAGAACTCGCCGAAAAATTGAGAAAGAATTGTATATTTATGTATGCAAAACTATTTTTGGGCAATACAAATATGCTGTGAGATTTTTTCTATAGAACATTTTTCAAAATATTCGTCCAGAAAAATTTAGAATTTAAATTTTCAGTGTAGAAACCTTCTTGAAGGCTACATTCCAGTTATAATGCATGTTATAAGTAATTATTTAAATGAAAACGATCTTTGCCGCAGCGTTAGTCTTTTTTGGATTTTTCATCTTTGCAATTAGCCAGGTAAAATAATCAGAAAAAAATCAAAAAAAGTATGGCGAGGAATTTATCTTTTTCCTCAAATTTATAAAAACTTTACCGTAGTTTTTACATCTTCATATCATATCATGATGTTATCAAATTCAAATGATTATAAATATTAAATTTTCAGCTTTTTAAAATTTGTACCGATAATTTGATTTCGTCACAGCAATTTGTTGAATTGCTGAATATGCATGGTGAAATATAATGTTTTGATAGTTTTTAGCAAATTCTGAGACCAGTATAAATCCTTGACAAACTGGCGAAAATTTATAATATTGCCGATAATATTATATTGATAATATTATATTGATAATATTATATTGATAATATTATTTTAAAAATTATTTTGAACACGTTTTTTTTCTATTATCCGAATCATTGCATTTGTTGAAAATAAAACTTGCAAATTTTATTTTTAGAGTATTTATTAATCTATTGGCTAATAAAAAAATAAATTTACGAACCAATTTCACTGAACCATTTTTTAGTTATTAATTTATCTTAGAATTCATAGAAGCTTTTATTTCATGGCTGAGATGATACAATATTATTCATAAATTATTAAATTTCTATTTTAGTTCGGGTTGAATTTGACTTAGTGGTAAATGGTTTTTGTTCACTTATATGCGACAGCATTAACCAAAAATTTTCACGTTCACGTTTAATTTTAATAAAAGAAAATTTAATTTTTGTAAAGGAAAAAATTTGAACATAAAAATTTTAATTTGTATGAAACCTTAAAACTTTATTGCAAAAATTAAGAAATTTTAACTGTTGTTTTCATGCAAACAATTAATCTTTTTCTTAGATAAAAAGAATCAAATCAATTAGCCACAAAAAAAACCTTTGATTTTCGAAAATCCGTTTTCAAGTTTGTTATCAAAAATTAATTGTTGTTCTAATGCCAAAGAAAATTCTAAAAATTATTCTATCAAATCAAAAATTCTTTTTTTCTAAGAACGCTTGCAACGCTTGGCCTCGCTAGCTTATCGAACCAGATTTTGCCAAGGAGTCAAAAGAATAAATGAGTTGCATTATCAAGATTTTCGGGGTATAGATTCTTCTCCTACCGGAGGTGAGTAAAACTTCAGTATGAGCACTCAAAACTTAGGAACAAAATAATGAGCCGTTCCAACTTCTTTTGCTTCTGTCGTTTCCCACAACGACAGTGCATCAGCCGGTTTGGAATCCGACCCATTTTGACAGACATATGCGTTGATCTCACTATTTGTAAATTTGTTATTATTATGATCTGTTATTATTGGCAATCATAGAAAAATATACATAATGCGGAGCTGGAATTCTACTCCGCAGCAATTTCTACATAAAGCATAATGCTGATGTCCCATAATTCTTTCCTTAAATAGCTTCATGGTGAAATTTGTCTGGTCCCACAAATTAACCTGCCCAACCAGAAATGGTTAACGCTTCTATCAATCCTACTGTAATAAGCCAATTCGCCTACTCAAATAAGCCAATTTAAATGGCATTAGTTGTCCGTTATATATGAATTTTTGACGAAATCAATGGCGAAATTTTCTTGACTTTGCATGAATAAACTTTAAAGTAATGTAATAAATTACTTTATTAAATTAGTAGCGAATGATGTGACTTTGCACTAACTCATCCATTATACATATATATATTTTTTTATTCCATCAAACAATAAATTCAAATGGAAATTACGATTTAACTGATCGAAAAAAAATTTATGAAAATGACCGATCTAGCGATTTTCTACAAGAACGCACTGAATTGGCGAAAAGTAACAGTTCTTGAAATGATTAATAGAGCGTACATCAACGGTATGTGCGCCTCGTTTTTGTGAACCTTCTAAGATTGGCCACATTCTGAATGGCTCATCGTTTATCCTGAAAAATCTTTTAGATCATCTTTAAATAGATCATTTTGATATAAATAAAATATTTTGTGATTTATCGACTTTGATATATTGGTTCTATTTTCTTTATAAAAAAACTTTTATGATTTTTAGAGAATAATTTTCATTTTTAGTTTTTTTGGATCCTTTTCGATTCCTTTTTTAATGGCAAATCTATTCCCATCCGAGCCATGAAATATTTTTTGAAAAATATTGCATTCGATCAAAAGAGTTAAAAATAAAGATATTTGACGAGACCGAAATATGATATAATAAACTTCTTTTTTTGGTTCAAATTAATTAAAATTAATTTATTTTTTATTATCTGAATTAAATCTTATTAATTCAATTTTTTTTTAGAGCCCTTATTATTGGTTAAACTCGCTCCATTGGCTTGTCACACTGGACAAGTGTGGCCTGGAGTCCCTCGGCGATAGAAATACAGGTGAATCCCCAGCATCACTCAGATTTTTTGATAGGGACTCCTGCGGGGAGTAGAAGCCCAGCGTTGGTACTCCGAATTGTAACAACCCACTGAATCCATTCTACTTTCCATTAAAAAACATTAAATCTGAGAGAAGAAAAATTAATTATGAATAAATATTTGCTTCTTACCCTTCAAAATCATTGCGAAGTTCCCACCGAGCAATTTTGGCTGCCGAGAGTCTAAACAAATGTTTTTAAAAGAAATGTTGGCAATCCTTTTCTTTAAAAATAATTATAGGAATGCGATTTTGAAAATATGAAATAAAATATTTAAGAAATATTTTTGGCCACAAAACGATGACTTTCATACTAGTCGATTAATTCAATTAATGAAGAGGTAAAAATTTTCTCATTTATGAAGGCATCAGTGATTAGTCTCATATCAGCGATGTATCACGAACGTTACTTCTGAAAGCAGTCCTTACAGTTAAAATGTTAAATTGATACCATCAATATAGTAATAATTCATCTTTTACGAAAGAATATAATTCTTTTACAATTCTAACTAAACTGAAACAAACTAGAAAGGGAAGTATAAAGATAAAACTATATTTGTTGCTAAAACTCTCTTTCTATAATTTTATTTATTTTGTTTTTAATTATTCTTTTATATTCTTAATTGGATTCCTTTCTTAATACATAATATAAGAATCAGTTCTTTGTTTAAAATAAAGTAGAATAATATCTGGGAAAGATAAGGTGGAACAGCAGTTCAGTGATTCTTTTTTGGAATGCTCGATGCTTTAAGCATGATTTAGCTATAAATCACGAAAATTACGCTAAAAAAGTTCATGGATTTTTTCTTTTTATTAATTTCATATAATTTCTGCATTGCATTGGATAGCATTCTTTATAAATACTTATTAACCTGAAATTTATCGAGAAATTTATCGTATCATATGAATCGGTTTTTTGTTTAAAATAAAGTAGAATATAAGAATCACTAAATTTTAATTAAAGGCAAATTTTATATAAAGATAAGCGATATTCCGATGCGAAAAGTTTATGTTAGATTATGAAATTATGGAATAATTTTGGAATAGTTAAACAATAAATATGGAAATTTATTAAAGTAGATTTTTTCCACTAATTTTTGACGTAATTTTCATGACTTATAATTGCTTACACTTCTAATGGAATAAACAATGAATAATGAAGTAATTTCTACTGTTTTATTTGATGTTATTTTTGCCTTGGAATATTTTTTCCCTATTGCGAAAGGGCTCTTTTAGAAAATCGTATAAAATTTTATGAGTTATGCATTTTTTTCAAATATTTTAGCAAATAAAATGAAATTGTGCGTGTAAATAATCATTTAAGACTTATTTTTTTATTGAAAATAATATATGTTATCATTATTGCAACTCATTTTCTCTTTTTCCTTGTATTTCTTTTTGTGTTCATTCATTTCTTCGTGAGGAAGCTTATGGATTTTGAGGATAATAAAGTATTTTTGAGTTGTGAGGAATACAGTATCGTTGAAATAAATATTTCTTCGGTTCAGTTTAAAGAAAACAGTTTAATCTCATTATATTTCAATCGCAAATTGAAATTATTTTCGTGTTATTTTAGATTTTCTTTCAACAATCCTTCATTATTTTATTTTATTGTATGGGCTCATTCTGCTGGTTATCCACCTAAATGATCCTCAAATAATCCTCTGATGAAGTGCTTGAAGCCAGTAAGCCAAACCGAATTAGAAATGCTGAGTGCTAGAAATAGATTAAGGCGATTAAGGTGAGATTAAGGTGAAGAAGAGACAAAGAATTTGATGCGGAAAAGCGGCAGATATATGAGGCATTCGATTCGTCAAAAAATTTTAAAAATTTTTGCTGAATTTTGTTCTATTTCAAAAAAGAGCTGAAAAAATCGCTTAAAACGTGGAGAATTCAAGAAAATAATTGCCGTTCTACTTCATCTTTTTTTAGATAAATAATTTATATATTAGTAAGAAAATCGTATGTGAAAAAAATCTCAAAGAAAAATTAAAAGCAGAAAATGAAGAAAAATATGGAAAGTTTTAATACAGTTGCATTGTGATGAACCATAATTTTTTAAAGAATTTTCGTATTTTCCAAATTTCACAAAAATTCACTTTATAAATTTATTTAATAAATAAATTTATCGAATCCAAAAATTATCGTACAAATAATTAAACTAAAAATTTAAAAAAACTACAAATTTTGAGCTCAAATACTGTAGAAAACCTTAATTCTGAATTTTGAAAATCGAAAATATGCAAAAAAGAATAACAAAAACTGTCGAACCTGAAATTAGTGATGAAGAGAATCGCTATGAATAGACAAATTGAGTTCATATTCATACTTTGAATAATTCAGATAACTCGCTAATGTCATTCATGAAAATGAACATCATTTTCATGGAATATTAATATAATATTATAGGCGTGGTTCATTCATTTTTTTTTAACCACAAAGGTGAATTTTGTCAAAATTTTGCCATTTTTTGTTTTCGATAACTAATTTCTGCATTGAACATCATTCTTTACATATATTTATCCATTTGAATTCAATTTAGGTAAATAGGCAAGAATTTTTTCGAATTTTCGCAGTAATTTTTGAGTTGCATTCTCCGTGAAATGCATAACTATAATAAACTATAAAGCCATACTTTGCATAAAAATTTGGAGAATTAATTATCGGAAGAATTCATAGAATAAATATTTCATATTCCATACGTTTGGAACCATCAACGATTTACTAATTTCAACGAAAAAGGAAAAAAAAATTAACAAAAGTATGAACAATAAAAGAAAATAAAAGAATAAAATTCCATCGATCAACAAATTAATTAATCTAATAGAATTTTTGTTATTCTGAAAATTTACTATGAAATGACAATTCAATAAAATAAAAATTAGAGAGGAATATAGATAAGGGTGATAAGGAAATATTTATACTATACAGTGGAATATAGATAATAGTGATAAGAAAATAATCATTTATAGAATAGAGTGGAATATAATAAGAGGGTATACGGTAAAGAATCAAATTTACAGTCGGAATGCTAAAATTGAATATGTTGAATTGTTGAAAATAATGAAATACCATCGAAACTCTTGAAAAATTCTTTTATTTTAAAAGCATAAAGAAGGGTGACCATTGCATGCAAACTATAAGAAAAAGAATTTGGTATGAAAAGTGATTGTAACAGGGAATTGGGTGATTTTTACGACAGTTCGACAAAAAATTGGACCAAAAGAATTTCACACCGTAAGAAAAACCATTCACAAATTATCTGAGACGATAATTTTAAGCAAAATTTATTTGATTTAAAATAAAATTTGGTACATTTACACATACGATATTTTCAAGCATATGATAACAAATGATAACAAAGATAAAATAAGTTGCATCACTATAGAATGTTCTTTTCGCAGTGTTCAGTGGATTACAAGTGGATTTGCTGAGGATTCGACTTTAGAGTAAATTCTTTGCTCATGTCAGCTCTTCGTTGCAAAACACTCAGTTTTATGATGACAGCCAATGGCTTTCTGAAGAAAGGCCTAAAAAACTAAAAAGGAGCGTAAAAATATTTTGTGCATAAAACGTACAAAAATTAAATTATTCGATAAAGCATTTTTTTTAAACCACTCACCACTGATGATCCGACGCTTCGCTGGCTTGCTTAGAGAAATAGGCGATAGAAATACAGGTGAGCAGCCAGCAGCACCCCGGATAGGTTTACTCCTGTCAGGAGTAGAACCTCACATCGGCACTCCGAAATGAGCGACTGAGCCATCCTCTTCTCCTTTGCTGTCCCGTTAGCAAGCACCACAGCCAGACGAAGCATGCGCGCCGGCCTGATTCAAACGCAAACCTCGATCCTCACTGGCACTTGTCTTGCCACTGAGCCACAGACGCACTCATCATGCCATTTTAATTGTTCTCAAAAAGTTACCAAATACCAGCCTATTTGTTTATTCTAAATGGAACTTAATGCCCAAATTGGTCTATAAAATTCTCTCATAGCTTCTTCCTTCTCCATGTTTTATCATTAATTCACCAATCTAAAATGCAGCTGCCGTTTTCGCTAAAACGCAGATTTTGCTAATAACTCAGAACTTCGAATATTTTTACCTACGAGCGCAGGTTTAAGGGAACGTGCAGCGTGAACTAGAAAAATCGGCGATTTGCAATCTTAGCACTGTTTTCTATTGGTGGATTTGCTTTTATTAATATTGTTTATTTATTCATTTTTTATTTATATTTTATTTATTTTAATTTTTACATTAAATATTTTGTAAATTTTCATCTTTTAATATTATAGCGATCGATAAATTTAATGATTTAAAATTATAATTATAATTTAATATATTTGCAATGATTTTATTTATGAAAATTTAATTTTATAATTTTATTGATTTTATTTTAATTTTATTATTTCCGGCGATTTTCACCAATGTTTTAAGTAATTAATATTTTACTTTAATATTTATATTTATAATTACTATGATTTTAATTTAATTATTTTCGATAAAATCTAATTAATAATGTAAAAGACCTTTGAAATTTTTAATTGTGCGAAAAATGGGTTTTTAGACTTTTGGTATTAATAATACGAAAAATGTTTCAGTTTCTTAGTATAAATAATAGAAAAAAATATGCAAACCATCTCATTGATTACTAATTTTATAAATATTGAATGTCTATTATCCACTGTTTTTAGTAAAGGTTCCTCTTCTGTACTTCTTCGTCTGTTAGGCCAAAAACTCAATTGCGACGCTGGTTGATCCTTGGATTTAGCGTTATTAATATTAGTTCTGTTAATTAGTTGTCGAAAGATTTATATTTATCATTAACGATAAAAAGCCGTGTTGTCCCATCATTGTATGTTGGGATTTTTGTTTATAATGAACACTTTTGCTTTGTTTCCTAATTATGGGAAAATTAATACGTAAAAATCGATTTGTTTTAGGAATCCTTTGGTCCATATTTCA